AATGCCGAGGTTGGGCCATACAGTGTTTTTATAACCTAATACTATCGTTCTAGTCTTTCACTTGCTCTGTACTTCCCTCTTCAATAGGACATGAAAGCCTTCAAATGTATACACGCTAGAAATAAAATAATCCAACCGACAAATAAGAGACTTAGTAAATTAGTACAACCACTGTGGAGAATGATATGGAGTTTCCTCAGAAACCTACAAATAGAACTAACACACTACCGAGTAATTACACTCTTAGGTATCTACCCAGACGTTAGGAAAACACTTAGTCAAAAAAACACTTGCACATCTATGTTTATTGCAGCATTATTCACAATTGCTAGGACAACCGCAAAGTCAACTAACTTTGGAATCAACCCAAAGTTCAAGAACAGATGAGCGGATTGAAAATTGTGACACATATACTCTATGGAATACTATTCAGCCATAAAAAAAAAAACAATAAGGTCCTGGCATATGATACAAAGTGGAAAAATATGGAAGGTTTGCTGCTAAGCAAAGCAAGCCAGACTATGAAAGACAAACATTGTATTTCCCTGCTCAATAATACCAAATGTCTGTCCGTGTATAGCAGAAACTGAAAGAGTGGAAGGTATAATAGCAGGGAAGGCAATGGAAGATACTAGAGACATTATGGGGGACTAATAGGGGGTGCAAGGGAAGGAATCAGGGAAAAAACACATTTAATAGACACTAAAGAGTTATCTTCTGATGATAATATATGATAGTATATGGTAATAGTACATGATGATACTATATGATAATGTCTTTGACTTGACTCATATGCACTGTATTCATGCTGTGAAAAACCATGCAGTACACTGTAAAAATGTACACTGGTTAAGAATAAATTTAAAAAAAAAAAAAAAAAAAAGAGGCTTAGGTGGTCATAAAGTCAATCGGTTAGGTATAGAAACATACACTACCCCATTTCTCTGAACTAATTTTTAGGAGCTTTACTTTTGTTCTTGGTACTCATTTAGAAGTTACATAACATAATCTCAAAACATGGCAAAATGGTCCATCTAAAATTTAGGGTGATTTTGATAGAGATAAATACATTTCACTCATTTGTTCAAAATTAATTGAATGGTGTAGAGGTGGTAAGCACTTGGGAGTTCAAAGATAGATTTTACTTTAAATCTGGTAGGTGAACTAGACTATGCATGGGCCTGGTCTCGACAAGTCTCTTCTCGTGAGTGTACCTCCACACCCTAGGACTGTCTTTAGAACTTGTGGTGCTCCATCAGCCCAGCACTCCCTGCTGCCTAGGTTCAACCTGCCCACCAAGAGACATTGGGAATATATAAATAAATGTAATAAAATGTAGAAGACTATAAGTGCCATAAGAAGGGACTAGCACATTGTTATGGGACTTTAGAAGTAATAAATGCACAAATAGGTATATTAATTATTTCAATTTTAATATGTCTTTTAAGACAAAAACTTTAGCCTACTTGAAGGTAAATGTCAAAAATAGTTTTCTTTTTAACATTTCTGCCATAGGGTATATGCACTGGCTGGAGAGACAGAGAGAGACAGTGAGAGGGGAAGAGAAATCACCACCCCAGAGGGCATGGTCATACAGCAATACCTTTTCTACCATTCATCTCTTGGAACTTTGGGCCTATATGCACCCAGCTTGAGTTTCAAGCCACCAAGTCCAGGACTCAAACTTCAGTTGGCTATGTGACAGTCCAGTACCTTAACCACTATGGCATCTGCTGGCCCTCAAAGCTAATTTTTTAACAATTGAGAAATCGTTCACTATGAGAGCAACTAAAAATATACATACATATTTAAAAATATATTTTATTGCATTACTTAAGGTATATAATATGATGATATACGATACATATCTGGATATAAACAGAGCATTATATGGAAGCAAATTGAAATATCCATCATCTCAGTTACCCTCCCCTTTTTCTTTGCTTCCTTTTATGGCCAGAGTAGCTAAAATGTATTCATTTAGCACGATATACCCAAATTTGGTATGACATTATTACCTATTACCTAATGTCCTCATGTTATACCTTAGCTCTCATCCTGTACATCTGCTGCTTTGCATCGTACCATCTTTATTCAGCTCCTTCTTCAGGAAGGAACTGATCTTCCCGGCTGATCTCCCTCCCCTCTGAAGCCAGCACTGTCTCTTTAGATACCTATTCTGAAGTCAAGGATAGGTAAACCTAAAAGTTTTAACTCTATACAACGTGTTTTCCTTTCTTGATGATACTTCCTTTTTGAGCCTCTCAAATGGAGATTATTTATTCTCTAATAACTAACTCATTTCAAGACTGGTCAACTTTGTCCAACACTCCATTTTCCTTTAAAGATACACCTTCGGGTCATATATTTAATGTGATAGAGAGAAGTAAATTGACAATGGAACCTAGAAATGTGAACAGTCTTCTGATATGAGGCTTCACAAATGCCGTTACTTTGAAAAGATTACCAAGTTCTGGAAATCTGGTATTTTTTATTACATGTTGATGTTGAACTAAGTAAGGTCTGGCCAATGAAATTTAAAAAAAAAAAATCACGGGACTCTGATATAAAAGTAAATTATATAACAGTCAAATGGAATAAAAAAATCCCTTTAATCTAGTTAACCCTCCTCATAGAACATATCTTCTTGGGGCCAGGAGTTGGTGTGGTGGTTAGGGCACTGGACTTCCACATGGCCGACCACAGTTCAAGTCCTAGACATGGAGACTTGCTTTCCCGCTTTCTCTCTCTCTCTCTGTGTGTCTATCTCTGGTGAGTGATGTGTCCTATAGCAAAAATTAAAAATGGTAATAAATAAAATTTTAAAAAATGAAAAAGATCATATCTTCTCAGAAAGTCAATTATCATAAAACAGTTCCTTGATTAGCATAGACTCTGAATAAGAGGTTATCAATCAGGCTTTTAAACAATAAAACAGTTATTTCCCTTTCTCCAATTTTTGTATAACTTGACTTTTTTTCCTGCAACATCACAAAAAAAGCTATGTAGCTATAAACTGGGAAATCCAAGTTTCTAGATGCATAAACATACTCCATTTTATCAATCTGTCTGATGTCCTTGGGAAAAACAGAACCAGCCCAATATTCCTCTGTCCTCTTCAGGCCGAGATGCCTCCCTAACATGATTTTCTATACACTTCTGTAAGACAAGTCCTATTCCAAAAAAAAAAAAAAAGATATTATTGAGCATAGGTGTGTGCTGCTAAAAGGAGCAATGCCCAACTATATTTGGTCTACATATATCAACTGAGGCTAATGTTACGAAAAATACAAACTACTCAATATTTTTGGAGAGGTCCTAAGAAATATATAAACCAGACTCTGTGTTAAGTTACACATTTGCATGAATCCTCTCCAGATGTTTGA